GTCCTTGCTCCTCCCTCCTCCCTCCTGCCTCCTAAATGCTGCAAGCCAGCTGATTCCCCCCTCCCTCCTGTCCAGGGCAGGAGCAAGGATTTGGCGCACAGGCTCCCCTTCCATCTCCCCCGCCTCCTGCCGGAGTTCTGCAGTTTCTCTTTGAAGTGTGCCATCCCTGTGGCATATATGAGTTTAGATAGTTTACTGTCCTCTTTCCTCTGTAGAGAAGTGAAGTGTGCATTGTAAATGGCTTGTCTTGTTTTTGTAAAGTCCATCCTTGTGTGGAACACTTCAGTCTCCCTGGACATTCTATAACAGATTTAAAAGTAGCCATACTTCAACAAAAAAACTTCGGAAACAGACTTCAAAGAGAAACTTCAGAACTCAAATTCATTTGCAAATTTAACACGATTAATTTGGGCTTGACTAGGGACTGGGAGTAGCTGGCTCACTACAAAAGCAACTTTGTCTCTCCTGGAATTGACACCTCCTCATCAATTATTGGGAGTGGACTACATCCACCCTGATTGAATTGGCCCTGTCAACACTGGTTCTCCATTTGTGAGGTAACTCCCTTCTCTTCATGTGTCAGTATAATAATGCCTGCATCTGTAATTTTCACTTCATGCATCTGAAGAAGTGGGTTTTTTACCCACAAAAGCTTATGTCCAAATAAATCTGTTAGTCCTTGTTGTTTTTATAGTAAAGAACAAAATTGTCAGACATAGATGAACATAATTTGTTGGGGTAGAGTCAACATGGTTTTTGTAAAGGGAAATCATGCCTCACCAATCTACTAGAATTCTTTGAGGGGGTCAACAGGCATGTGGACAAGGGGGATCCCTCACCAAAGGCTCTTAAGCATAGTAAGCTGTCATGGGATAAGAGGGAAGGGCCTCTCATGGATTGGTAACTGGCTAAAATATAGGAAACAAAGGGTAGGAATAAATGGTCAATTTTCAAACTGAAGAGAGGTGAATAGCGGTGTCCCCCAGGGGTCTGTACTGGGGCCAGTCCTATTCAACATATTCATAAATGATCTGGGAAAAGGGGTAAACAGTGCGGTGGCAAAATTCACAGATGATACGAAACTACTCAAGATAGTTAAGTCCCAGGCAGACTGCCAAGAGCTACAGAAGGATCTCTCAAAAATAGGGACTGGGGAACAAAATGGCAGATGAAATTCAATATTGATAAATGCAAAGTAGTCCACATTGGAAAACACAATCCCAATTATACATATGGAACGATGGGGTCTAAATTAGCTGTTACCGCTCAAGAAAGAGATCTTGGGGTCATTGTGGATAGTTCTCTGAAAACATCCACTCAATGTGCGACGGCAGTCAAAAAAGCTAACAATGCTGGGAATCATTAGGAAAGGGATAGCTAATAAGACAGAAAATATCATATTGTCTCTCTACAAATCAATAGTACACCCACATCTTGAATACTGCATGCGGATGTGGCCGCCCCATCTACAAAAAAAAAAAAAAAAAAGAAGAGAGAATGGACTTGGAGAAGATTCAGAAAAGGACAACAAAAATTATTAGGGGTAAGGAACGGCTTCCTTATGAGGAGAGATTAATAAGACTGAGACTTTTCAGCTTGAAAAAGAGGTGACTAAGGGGGGTTATGATAGAGGTCTATAAAATCATGACTGTTATGGAGAAAGTAAATAAGGAAGTGTTATTTACTCCTCTCATAACAGAAGAACTATGGGTCACCAAATGAAATTAATAGGCAGCAGGTTTAAAATAAACAAAAGCAAGTATTTTCTTCACACAATGCAGAGGATGTTGTGAAGCCCAAGACTATAACAGGGTTCAAAAAAGAACTAAATAAATTCATGGAGGATAGGTCCATCAATGGCTATTGTCAGGGATGGTGTCCCTAGCCTCTGTTTGCCAGAAGCTGGGAATGAGCGACAGGGAATGGATCACTTGATTATTGCCTGCTCTGTTCATTCCCTCTGGGGCACCTGGCATTGGCCACTGTTGGAAGACAGGATACTGGGCTAGATAGACCTTTGGTATGGCCGTTCTTATGTTCTTAAAAGGGGTTCTTCATCTACATCCCCTGGTTTCAGGGGAAATTTCATCAAAATTGACATGGTACCCTGGAATGTTGTGATTTTGGTGAAGAATCAGCAAATGCTGACAAAGTTCATCTGCCTTTTAAAAAAATATTGTTATGAATGAAGGTTTCTTGATTCTCAGTCATATTTCTATGTTAATTCTATGTACATGACCCAAGCCTCAATTTCTGTTTCACATTTAGAATACTTATGTGGAAGGGGTAGACTGGAATATTTAAACTGTTGTGTGTAATAATTATTTGTAGCCTACAAAGGCAACAGTGAAATTTGAACAGATTAATTTTAGTTCTTCTTAATAATACTTGTACTGTTTATGATTGTATTTCCAGTGAAACTGGAAAATTAAAATGAGTGGATTTATTATAGTTGAACTTAGTAATTGGCATTTTAAATAAACAGGGTGGAATATGTAAACTGAATTAATGCCAGTGTATATCTTAATTGCAGGATACCCCTAAATCAGGTACTAGTTGCAGTTCACGATGTTCAAGTTCCAGACAAGATTCTGAGAGCACAAGGCCTGAATCGGAAACCGAAGATGTGCTCTGGGAAGATCTGTTGCACTGTGCAGAGTGCCGGTCTTCCTGTACCAGTGAGACAGATGTAGAAAACCCTCAAGTTAATCCTTGTGTGAAAAAAGAATATAGAGATGACCCATTTCATCAGGTTGGTGTCCTGTAATTATTTTTATTATCTAAAGGAATACTTGCTACCTGCACTCCTAACAGCTTTATGAAGTGTTCAGGAGTTAGAACTGGGGAGAGAAACTTACATTAAATTAAAATAACAGAAAATAAATGTTGAATTAGTTGCAAAGTTCTGATTTAAATCCTTTAAAACAAGGAAAATTTTATCATGGGAGATGTAGTCCAGCTAGGGAGCCTAGCCCAGAGAGGGAATATGGGGGTCATGAAGCACCAAAACTGCAACTCTCATAAGGCACCACAGCTTTTAACTTGCTTCTAACTCAGCATAACTTTAACATATTTTATTTTTAGGTTAATTGTTTGTTTTATGGGCAATATCTATTAATAGATAAGTGTAAGACAGTCATACAGTTCATGAATCACATGATGATGATCAGAGCTATTATACTTCCTTACTGCAGTTCAGACTTAGGAAACTAATCTTTGAATTAGACACAGATCAAACAGGACTTTTTAGAGACTTTCTTAGTTTACATATGGGGCTGTAAATGAAAATTCTGTACATTCACATGCATATTTAGAAAATATGGGCATTAAAAGTGTTCAAAATTAATCAGTTTCTCTAAAATATACCATATTTTCCGGCGTATAAGACGACTGGGCGTA